GTTCTCGTTTATCTCTCTTCTAATATTCATTAATTATTAAAAATATCTATAACAAAAATACGAAATAATAACCTAATTATTCTATATTTTTGAAAGTAAATAATAAAAGTATTCTTCACTCTTTTAATATAGCTGGTTGCCCCTTTTCTCTAAAAAAAAGCTACAAATCAAATACATTTTTCAAATGTTTCATTTGATTAATTCCCTCTGTAAAAGAAGTTTTTTCAAAAACGAGCAATCATGGAATCCACTAGTTCCTTGCTAATAAAATGTACCCGGATAGGAATCTCTCCCTAATTGCTCGAACTGGTGCAAACGAATTTTTCCGAACGAACGCCGTTGAAAAGCGACCCGTACCTTTTCACAATTTTCCACTGAAAGTTCCGCGTCGATCGTTTCTCGCCGTGGAAAGAATACGAACCAGTTGGTTAGTTTCGCCGAAATAGAAATGTGCAGAAGCGCCCATTAGCGACCTGTTTGTGTACTCAAGTACCCGTGAAGTGCTACTTTTCCTCGTGCTACTTCATCTTCTAGCTGACCTCGCACCCATTGTATTCGAAGTGAAATGCATCTTTCCCGGGAAAGAAAGAAAGAAAAGAGGATAATTCTATATGAAAACGTGGTCTGTTTCTTATTCTACTTCAACGATGGAATCATAGACAGCCGGATCTTCACGTTTGCTTTGATCATCAAAGCAAACAAAGTTAGAATTAAGCTAATTAACTCTTCAACTGCTGGCTATGTAGAGGGTGTCCCAGGTTTTTGCGGTGCCAGTATATTTTCTGAGGAAAGATAAGAAAAACTATGATACTCCATAGAGTGAAAACCAAATTTCATTTTATAAATTTTCTGCTATCTCATTAAATATTATAATTTTCGATACATGAAAATTATTGATTCAAAAATTTGTGAGTCATCGTTTCTATCTCTCGTAAGTCTGGATCATAATTGATCCGGCCATCGTCATTAGAGGGTAGAAATCTGCGAAATTAAAACGCTATTATTCAGAGAACGTGCATCAGAAATAACAACCACCTACCGAGCTTTCTTTACACTTCTAATTTGGCAGTGTGCTTCTATTTCGCAAAAATTTGAAAGAAGAAACGGAGAAAAAGCTTCGTTATGTATAAGAAGAAAGAGAGAAGTAGATGAGAAAATAAGCAAGAAGGAAGAACGGTTAGAGTAGGTCGCGGATTTGTTTGAGATCAAACACAACTGTTCGAACGAGCTGTGGCTCAACTGAATTTAACGCGAACTCTCACATTTTGCAACGCCGAATTTGGAACAAAAACTAAAGTCCTCGGGCGATACGTTTTCTACGACGTATACAATTTTCGTGTATAACAATGCACGCATGCATACATTCCCACGTCGATTGGGTTCGCGAACCAGGGTCATTTCGACTTTCTTTCGTTCGCTCTTGGAAAATATATTTTTTCACTTTGAAAATTGATACGAACACCGATGAACAGATAGAACTGTATAAAAAAAATTAAGTGTACATCAAACGTCGGTAGTTTTACTGTTAATTGATAGCTGAATTTTTGAAGATATCATAAAATCATGAATGAACAGAACACAGACCACAAAAGAGCCATTCCACCATGAAACGATTCTTCTGCTTAAGCAAAAGGAATGGTGTAAAAGAGAGCAGTTACAGTGACCAGGCATTCCAAGCATTCGTTTATCCGCGGATACTGGCACAAATATCGTAACGCCAGTTTGTCACGACTCGCGATACGGTACACGCAGATGACGATAGTTAGCTAGTAGTTGGTTGTGAAATGCTAAATACCCTGAACGACCCGCGGCTCTATTTATAGAGTGGACGGGATCGATATCCGGCCGCTATAGGAGAGCACCGTCCGAGCCAGGCTAGCAGCTTCGAAAGGGAAAAAGGCGCGAGAAAGTCGGTAAGGAAAGCATAAATGGGGTACGTCAGGAGGAAAAGGAAGTAGAGGGTATATATATATGGTCCTGAAGCTTTTTATGCATCGATGCTTGCGCCAATTTTACCCTGCCATTTCGACTCGACGCCGGCCGACATGACGAGCCAATATTCCCAACTCTGTCTGTTGCACCTTTGTCAGGTCACTTGGACGATGCTGTCGAAGTTTCTTTGGATTTACCTTTACTTTTCAATAGATTTTCAATAGGCGAGATCTTGTAGAATGGTTACTGTTTACCTCTGAAAACGAAGTTTACAGTTACAGGAATTTGTTGATATAATTGGCGACCAGCCATTATATTTGAATAATTTTAATGAAAGGCTAGTGCAGGTACTTTCAGTAAAGTTTGAGCTTTAAATTGATGTGTTGTAATTAGTATTTTCATGTACTTTTATGTTATCAACAACTTGATATTATTGAACTGCTGCTAGGAATAGATTTTAATAACTAGTTGCTGCATATTTTAGTCTATTAATTCGCTTCTAATAATGTGACTGATGTGGGACTTCGCGTGTCTACGTTTTACTAGAAATAATTGCAGGAACGTATTTAGAGCAACGTTACAATGATGACGCCGGTGTTCATACGGAATTGTACGCGCTGTAAATTTATCCTCGCCTTCCCGTAATTATGCCCTGATTAACCCATACACCTGCTTGCGAGACTGTCACTTAACGAACTGATTAAGACTTGGGAGAATAACCGTCGACCAAGCTGACAATATCTTAAATGAAAAACGCGAAATCCATTAGAAAAATTTCGTTCAATCGTAGACGACTGACACACGAAGCAAATAACGCATTTCTTTCGATTGTTCTCGTGAAAGGGAAGACCCAATCCAATAAGAACGATCAAATTTCCGCCTGTTCGATCGAGTTATTTCTCGATAAATAGCGTTCGATGTTTTTCATTTTATCGTTCATTCATCAGTTTCTCTTCTGACAGTTGTCTTGAATATTTAATCAAATCAATTAACCCTTCCCATAAGTTAATAAAACTTTTCTCATCTGCACTGGACCGTTTAAAAGGCTCGCCCAAGTAACAAGCAGAGGTGATTGTTAATAAATTGGATTTATTTTGTGCACTTATTGAATTCAGCGAGAAAATAAAATTACATAGAGAAGTCTGTGTCCTCGATCTTTCGATTCATCGTGGCCCGATACCTTTCCTTCCAACTTGTCTCAAACAAGGACCATTGGAACGATGGTTCAACGCTTTCAGAAGAGGTCACCGTAGTCGTTGTGCGAGGGGGTGGATGTCAACGGGACGAAAACTTGGGGGGGGGGGGGGGGGGGGGGGGTAAAGTGCAGTCGAGCGAGCGATATGGTTGAAACTCTTGCCGTGGTGAACAGCAAAAGTTCTTTCGTAAAACGGAAGACTAAGCACGCTTTGCTTTGCTAGATGAATGACTGAACTACGGGCTCTGTTTCCGTTTCTCTTCTAGCTATTTCAACGTTTTCTTCCTTCTTCCATTTACTCATTTAAACAACTACCTATTTTTTGATTATCATCATTTTTCATTAGTATTTTAGTGTAGAATATTTTTCATTATAAAATCGGATTGTGGATCCAGATTATAGTTTTATGTTTTAGATATCTCGACGAGTTTAGTATGCACGTCGAAACTTGGATCTCGGTTTTCTCGAACGTCCGTCGTAAAGAGCGGCTTATTTATCGTACCAATTTGTCTCGTAATTATACTGCTGCTCTGTTACGTAAATCCGTGCTTAAATATCGTTGTACATGCATCTTGTACACTTTAGAGAAATTAGAACGTTTCTGTGAAGATTATTTGACAGTTTCAGAAAGTGAATTAAATACAGAGTCTGCTTTGCAACTGGGTCAATCTTATAATGGTGGAGGATACACAAAATTAAATGGTGTTAATGATTTCAAGGTTTTCTGAATGGAACCGCGTATTCTTTTCATTCTGCATAAAAAAGTATTAAGATATAATATTTAAAAAATCAACAGTTTATGAGATATTTTATTTAAATTCAAAAGCATCTTATGAAAAGTTGATTTTTTTAAATGTTGTACATTACTATTTTTTAATGAACTTACCCTTTCTGAAAAAATATAACTATTATGATTCGTTCTTTTTCAACCATCCAATATGAATATCTCGCTCTTCTGCCATAAATTCACATTTGATAAGTATTTTTTTCGGGGGTTGTTTTTATGGTTATTTGGGGAGGGAGAAACACTTTTTCTTTCCATCGTACTAGCTCTAAATGTCGGCGATGTTCTCCGTCAGTTTCACGATCATATTTCTGACCATAGGATCAAAAATTCTTTTCTGTCGCTGGATAAACGAGCGATGAGTCCCTGTGGAATCGTTAAAGTGTCCCGCAACCCTTCTCGGATCACGATAAATTTCCTGGCGATCGTCGAAAGGGAAATAAGTGTCGAGGAAAGTGCGTGCAATGCCACCTTTGGGGATTCCTGAGGGATTTTTAGATATAGGTAACGAAAAGAAAGGACAGGAAAATTGAAAATGAAATTATCATTTTTAGACTGAAAGAAAAAGAAACATTTTAGTCCTACAATTGTATCATCAATCGAATATTGACCAATTTTTATTTACGCACCTTTTTTTGTGAGTAAATTATACAAATTGGTATTACGAAGAGGGGCTTCTTATTTCCTGCACGAAAAATGTTATTGCAATTGCAACGGATATTTATGCAAATGAATATCTGCCATATTCCATACGTTTTGCATATTTCATACAAACGACAGACAATTAAATATGTAACACATTTCGATTTTCCTATTATATCAGTTTTATTTCATATAACTTATGAATTATGAATTATGATTCATGATACGTCCATATTACGATAGTCGCATGATCAGTTCACGATACTGAATAATAATACCTTAAAAAATTTAAATAATGTCATTGATTTTAAAATAACATATCTGTTACGTACAAAATTAAATTCAATAGTTATTTTATTATTTAACATTTGTTATTATCGAATTACATATTATTACTAATCGTAACTACCGTTTGAAAATCTATGACTAATTGTTTTGAAAGACAGTCTATTCGAAAACAACGAAAGTGTCGAAACACGTTTCGCGTGTACGGCTCGCGCCAAGGGGGTTAACCGAACGAAAACATTTCTTCTGATTCGTAAAAGGGTGCGCGGCGTGGCAAGCAAGCGCCAAGTCACTGCTATTCGGGGTTACGGTGGGTGGCGGAACTACGGGGTGGCTAAGAGCCACAGTTGGTTGCGGGATGTCGTCCTGAGCACATTACGCGTATTCAACCTCCACCACGCGACCTCGTGATCCTCCCCCCCTCCCTCGATGAGTTTGCGTGAACCATATATAAAAAAAAAAGGTAATTAAATCTTGATCATCCAGCGCTTCCGGCAAAGTGAACGACGAAACAGTGCGTGAACTTCTTCCTTATCTTTCCTCTTTCTCTTCTCCTTCGGTGAAATTTCCTGGTGAAAAGTGCATCATAATTTTACCGAAAAATTCTGTAATTTTGAAACATCAGTTGCTACAGGAATTCTGGATCAATGAATAAATTCAAGGATATCTGTAAATTTGTATTATTTTTGAAAAAAGGATCAAACATTTCGTAAGATCGTCGAGTGGTAGAAAAGACGGGGACGAAATTGAATCGCGACCGATCTCCGTATTTAGATTTGGACGAAACGGAGCTGCAACGAAATAGCAGGATCTTAAATGTCAAACGGGGCTGGCGAGAGCCGCGGGAGCTTTCAATTAAAATTTTATCGGTCCGAGGGGTGGATTCGAGGCGAAACTGCAGCCGACCAGGCCGCTCCATAAAGTGTAATCCCGGCCGTTAAACACAGCTACCGTGGCGAGGATCATCTCATAATTGAGACAAGGATCGAGGAGAAATCGCGTTCATTGCCTTATTATAATCTACGAATCTCTGGTGTTCGCCATGGGGAAAGAATGAACGGGTCGGCTGGTGAATCTCGTGAAGTTCGAGAAAATCCATCGAATGAAAAGGACACAGGGAAGCTTTTTACCGGAATCGATAAAGGGTTTCGTAGATGCTTCCTTCAGAAATACGAAACGCTGAAGATATTATGAAAGGACCAGGCTGAAATATCTCGTTTTTCAACTGGAAGAATTACATGGAATATGCGGGACACCATTGAAACGGTACGGTGGATCGGGTTTAAATTCTGAACGGAATAGAACAGAATTCCTAGGCCTCTTCCGTTCTGGTTTGCGTTCTGGAAACTTTCAATTGGAACGTTGTCGCGCGAACGAGGAAACTTTGGTATCTGAAATTTCCGGTCTCCGGTTCATTTTTCGAGTGAAACGCTTCAGAAAAACAGACGAAAGTTTCTCCGTAAATATTTCAGAAAATCCTTCGTCTTTGATTACGATCCCACGAGCAATTTCGTAGTACACGAAAACGTACTCTTAGTCTGACAATATATATATATCCTTGTCGATTGACACGTGGCTGTTTAGAGGAGGAACAGCTTGGAAATCGTGAAAAGACCCTCGAGACGAGGCTCGAGGATCGAATGTTGGCTCTGATCGACGAGGGGATCCAGGACCGTTCGAGAATGCCAATCTGGTCGTTGAAGTTGTTGCGGGAAAGCAAGAGGTGTAATCCGTTTAAAAGAGTCTCCAGGTGAGTCTCTTCGAATTGTTACCCTCGACAGGTTCAAAGAAAAAGGAACATTCGAAACAGTATTCTTTTTCGGTCAGTATTTTCATCGTTTTTTGCGAACCCGAGTTTAAAAAAAAAAAGAAAAAAATTGCCAGCGGTTAAAGAAAGCGACGAAGTATGCAACGAGAATTAATCGTTCCTTAGGGAACACGCTCGAAAGACAAGCGAAGGAAGCTCGGATAACGAGGAGCTTGCAAGAGGGAAGAGAAGTTCAGCCAGTGGATAATAAAAAGTACTCCAAGATTTCGAGATCGTCCAGAAGGAAAAGAAGAACGCTTCGGATGTTCAAAATCCTGCGATAGACACAAGATATCATCAATCGAGAAGAAGCTGTTCTTTTCCTTACCTTGAGCCATAAGGAACGTCCATTGAGAATAGAAGTGGTTCTTCAACTTCTAAGTCGAAAGTTGGAAGTACCATTAGGTAGATTACGTGGTATTAATTCAAAGTACAAAAAGAGAATTCATCTCCATCCTTTCTCGTCATGGGCAGGGCAAGTAGGATCCTGAAGTTTTCTTTAAATAACAAATAATAATAAAAGATTAAAGTAATGGGGCACTTGGACCTCAAATCATCCAGTTAATTTAAATTAATTACTCCTCGAACATTTCTGACAGACCTGAAGCTGCTCTTCCAAAAGCTGTCCAAGGAATAGATAAACAGCACTGAAAGATGTATGATAAGTTTGAGATAAGATCATCAAAGATCATCAAAATCAAAAATAACCTTTTCTTCGTCCTCGTTACAAATATTCAAAATAAAATCACGAAGTGTTAAAAATTGCGAGTGTCATAGAAACCAAAGATTATCCACTGATCGATTAAAAATGTCTTAAACCTTCTTCTCATTTTCATAAAAATGGTCCACTAACAAGATGATAAGTGTTAAAAAATAGTGGGTGTTGACTCATGAAAATCAGTGTTGTTTTTTTTTTTAAATTGCGGTGCTTTTCGTGGCGATAATAGACAAGATTAAAAGTGTACCGTGTGGCCGCGTTGGTAGACTTGAGACGACCATGGACAAAAAGGACAATCGGTCGGTCGTTCGACAGTTGAACGGAAGCTGGTCTCGCTGGAACAGCAAGACAACCTCGGGATGCTGCACGCTGCCATGCTAGGTAGCGGTCCGGGTCGAGGGAGACACGAATGGTATCCGGGATTTTATCTGCAACGTAGACGAATTGGATGCAGGATGAACCGTGGTGAACAGGAAACATTATTCAGGCAGAGCCGCCAGTTGACGAGGATCGTCCCGTCTCACGAGGACCTGGTGCTGAGCGTGCTTAAATCGCCCATCAGCCAACATCAGCAGCAACGACAACCGTATCATTCCAGTTATCACTGTCAAGAGCATCATGTTAACTGCCAAGGTCATCAAAATCATAAGAAGTGTACTCATACAGGTATATATCGATTACTCGATGAACAATTTCATTTCGGGAATTTTCAAAGACGTGCTTGTGTGGGATTTTTAGATGGTCTTCTGATAATTTTATGATCCTTTATGGTTTCCAGTGGTCCATGTTTTTCCATATGGTCATTGATGTAACTAGGTTTGTCTGGGGTGGGCCAAGGTACTCAGCTTAATCCTTTAATTTTAGATCAGTTTCTAATGGCATGCTTATATAAAATAATTATTCATTCTCACAAATTATTTGTGAGAATAATTATTCATTCTCATGAAATTATTCAATTTCAGCAAAGGCTTTATTTGTCAAAATATTATTGCATTTGTTTTCCCGATAATATGAATCAGTATTAATAATACATAATTAATAATACAATAATTATAAGAAGAATAATATTCAATTGTGTCATAACAAAAGGGTTCCGCGCGCTTATTGATTGCAAATAAATATAACCATTGTAAAGGCTATTAATAGGGTCGCTTGCGTTCCTATGAGAGGTTTCATCTCCCATGACGAATTGCGGTGTCGAGGATCAAGGATCAACTTGTTCTATTCACGATACAACAACCGTGACTCCCATGAGAATTCTTAGCAAGCGAAATATCCCAGTTGATTATTTTTCATCGTGAAAGATAGATAATCCTGTCACGTTCGAAAGAAATATTTATAAAGAGCCCCTTTGCAATCACTTAAAGGTTAACAAAAAAAGGGAAATATTATAAATGATGTTTTAATTTTTTTTTTAATTTTTTCGTAACGAACCAGTAGACTAAAGGTCAAAAATGATGATTATCCGAAATAGCATTAGAAAATGTCGATACCAAACGTTCTATAGTTTCATTTAAAGAAATAAACATAATTACCAAGCATGCCATTCCATGAGACAGTCTACCTCGCTGACTGCATTAATATTTCATCAAATGTAAAGCAGTGCTCAGAAATTTTATCATTAGTTCTCGTAGAATTATCAGTTTCAAAGAAACTTTCACGCTCATTGTTCCATTATGAATTACACGCAACAGAAGAGGGACCAACTTTTGCCTGTTATTAAAATTTGATAATCATACTTTGGTGATATACTCTAATTTAGCTCTGGGATAAATTTGTCTCTTCTCTAAGACGTTCCTTCTCTAAAGGAACTTGCCTGCAGCTGATGCTTTCGAACTTGAATTATTTCCATTCGTCGTTTCTAGCAGTGTTGGATTCAAGCATTCCATTTGCGTATAATTCTTCGCTCAAGAGAACCTTTATTTTATTGGAACCTTGCAAAAATGTAGTTACCCTTCCGATTAAAATCTTCACTGTTCGATCTTGAATGAGTTAAGTTTCGATGCTCGTAAAACGATCAAGGATAGCATTTTTCAGAGGATATAATCTACATAGATCGGAACGTAATTACTATATTATCGATTACGAGCATGGACGCCATTGACCTTTGTTGCCTCGAATACTAGAATACTAACTCAGACCAATGAGAATACTCAATGACATGAGAATACACAGATGACCGCTTTGAATATTAACAAATTCCTTGTCAACGTTTCTTTCATGATTCTATTTCACGACGTTGCTATAGATTCCCATTGCAATATACAGTAGAATAATATCTTCAATAAAAATATGAAAAATAGGTCAACTTGGTGATAAATCTGCAATAAAATTTAAATTCTGTACATCGTACAAAATTTCCAATGTAACAATCTCTTCATTGTACACAGTATCGAGAACCACATCGTTCACAAAAAATAAGAACAGGAAGTTATCAAACATCTGGAAAGAATTTGGGTTACGAAACAACGGCAAGCAATAAAGTCAATACAAGAAAATATTGACGAAATACCAAGTTACTATATTCTTTCTTTCTTTTTTTTTCCTCTTTCTGTGAATGCTTTCTTCGATTGGCGAAGGGTGGTTCTCGATGAATATCTCGGGGCTAGCTATAGGTGCTCGAACTTCCGATTCTTCGTTCGTTAATGTCCCGGGGAAATTGCACGTAATCGTTGGAATTTATCTGAACGATATAGAAGCAAGCTGGTGTACGAAGAAGAGAGGAAGCAACGGCGATGAGCGTGCAGATAATTTCGAAGCAATTTATCGGGGTGGCGTGCGCGCGGGTATCTAACATCCACGTGCATGGGCTCGCCAATTCTTATTTTTATCTGCAACTAGCTTATCCGACGACTTTCGTGCAAAATTCTGATCTGGGATTTCGTTTAACACTAGCAGAACCAATTCTGTTTCGCCGTAAACTCGTACAATAGATTATTCGATAACATCAAAGTCTGCTAACAGTATCGAAAAAGGATCATTCCCAATAACCAGGAGGCTGCTTTTCCGTCACTATATTTTTTTAATCAATAGATGTCCTTTGAAGGCAGCCGAAACTCCTTTATAGAGTATTCTTTGTGTATCCACTTCGTCAGTTCAAAACTGGATCTACCTTTGGACTGAAAGGTACTCTTTATTTTTTAAATTTGACACTTTGTTAATCTGTCGTATCAGTTTCCTTTTCTTTCAATTTTTAGATATTTCAATATTTGTATTTAAAATTGTAAATTTTATTCTAACAAAAAATGGTTTCTTGTATGGGCATTGAATTACTCGGAAGTTAAGTCTTCTTTAAAATTTGAATTTTATAAGAGTGGGTCGTTAAGAAAAATATTCACCAAGTTCATCTTGAATTTTACGGAGTTTCACGGGTAGTTGTTCCTCTACGATGTAGCAAAAAAAAAAAAAAAAAAACGAAGAAAAAGGAAAAAACAGCTGTTCCTAATTACAATAGAACGTCAGGTGGAAGATTTATTACAAGGTACGTGCGATTCAAAGGGCAAACGAGCAAGGAAATTAGACGGAGCATCGATCGAACTGGTTCCAGCGATAAATAGACGAGCCTGTTTGTCGAACAGGAATTATTCAAATATTTGAGCAGCCGAAAGCTGGCCTTTGCAATTCTATGTATAAGGATGGAAAGGTCGCGTTACATTTGCCTGTGTACTATAAAATGGGGTGAATTAAAACACTTCTATACAAAATGTTCCTTATATCGATTGGAAGGTAAATAAAAATCAGTGCTGGGGAAAATTTGAAATTTATCAATGATAGGTTTCGAAGATAGGTCACGTTCAATCTACATCTTATTTTCCATTTTTTGTTCTACCTCGCCACATGGATTCTCTTGCGGTACCTATCTGCAGACCCGTGAAGAGAGTGGTTTTTCTATTTAGTCAGTGGCATAACGAGGACAATGAAAAATGGTCGAGAGATTCGATTATCGACCACGTACGAAGCAGTGGTGGCTATATTTCTGAGCATCAATTGAAGTAACGAGATTGCTCGACGTGTTCCTGTGTAGGCTAACCGCTTATCTGTCAACGTATATCAGTGTTAGCTGAGTGAATATCGGTGGACACGAATTTTCCCATGAGATTTTATAACTAAACGAAAGGTGATAAGTTGGACAAACGAACAAATTGCTTAAGTACCGTAAATAAATTCGTGCCATTTCTTCGCACAGCATTTAGAAAAAAAAAGAGATTGTCGGTCGTTATGGTTATAGCCAGAACCTTCTCGACGACCCAACCACCGACGTACGATGGTTAATTGGTTAATAAATTAAAGCTGTAGACGAGGGAAAATCTTTGAACCGCAACCAACAGTAACGTTCTTTCATCTTGAACCATCCTGTCGATCGATAAACCTGAAACCCTGAAGCTCGTTTGCCCAGCAATTCGGCTTTTCCTTGTGTTGCAAAATTCAGACCGCATAAACCGCATCAAGCTGCCAATATACCATGGCACTGACGATGAGAGACATCGTGTCGTTAGCTTGTCGTCAATGGAGTTCCGTTTAGTAACGCATCGTTGATACTGCTCGAAGGAAATTCCGACTTCGTTTGATAAAGGAACGCGATGCTCTGAGAGGATCGTTTTAACAATAGGCCGTTTGCGATATTTATTCATAATTATCGGAAATTAGGAAGAGTTTAAGTTCGCTCGGTATTCGTGTAAATCCCACACAAGCAATCGTCGATTAAGCATAATATTGTCGCGCGATCGGATAACGAGGTTCGAAAAAAGATGTCGTGTTTCGAGCCCAAGACAAGCCGGCAATATCCTGGAAATGCCCAGGTGAGAACAACGACAGTCTTCCACGAAGCAAGGACCAATGCTCTAGGCTCACGGAGAAACGATCGAGTGCCGCGGCCGCTTACGCTGCTCTTCAGGGCAGCGAGGACGAGCTGGTGGCCGAGCAGGGCCTCGAGTCAGAGGACACGGCCCTGAAGACGCCTGGTAGCGAAACGGAGGACACCGAGGACAACGGCGGTCAAATGGACGAAACATCCTCGCCCGGGCGTCGTTTCACCTTCCTCAGGCGTTTCCGGTCGCCGCGATTCGGCGAGGCACACCACAAGAGGGTGCCCACGCCGATGAAGAGGAAGTACCGTAGGAAAAAGAGCAAAGACGATATTATGAACAGTGATATGAATGCCACTGAAGTTGAACCGCCTAGTTTGAACCAAGCCGGTGTGCCTGATCCTTACTATCCTATCTATCTGCCCATCGATCAGGCATTCAAGGCTAAATACGTGTTCCATCATAAGAAAGGCAAGACGTTCCAGGAGAGGCTGTACGTGTTCCTCGAGCACCCTGGTGGATGGATCTGCTTCATCTATCACTTCACTGTGTGAGTATCATCGGGTTCTTTTACACGTTGGGCAAGTCTCCTGTTGAACTTGATGAGACTCCTGGGATAGTAGATTATTCCTATACAGGACACTTAGGTGATTAATACTAAGAAGCCATTTACAGGATGAGGGGATTTTGCAAGTTAGTTAATCAGTATTAGATTTCTTATTAAAACATTTGTTAATTCCAAGAAAATTATTACACTTCTTTCGATGTAACTTAATCAACGTCAATCGTGATCCAAATTTATAAAATATATACAAGGACATTAATTTAAAGTTAAATTTTTAAGGAACGGTGTCAAATTTAGGAAATGAAAAATGGCTCTCTCCATGGTCCATCGTCCAAGGATTTTGATAGTAATTTTTGTCTGCCATATTGAAATAATGAAAATGCAATTCTAATGGACAAATATGTATGTGTATATCGACGATCGAATAAGCACGCTCTGTTGGAATATAAACAGCTCGGTTTCTCATCGCAACAAGTGATGGGAAATTCTTTGTGCCAGCCGAAGAGACACGTCTGGGTCCTTTGACGGTGATTCTTCGACCAGCGAGTAAATATCTCGCTCGTCTCCATTGTTCGATCGTCCTGTTGGTCCGTTCTCACGATAAAACGTGCCGGAAGTATTCCTCGAACGCTTCTGAAAATCCCGATAGCGAAAGCTCTTGCGAAGGCAACCGTGTTACGTGTATTTCTCGAATCAACCTATGCCGGATTTTCACCCTATTTCGCGTTCAACGTTCACCGCTTCTATGTCGCGTGAGTGCGTCGTCGATACTTCCGGTTCCCGTTTAAAGCCGTCCTACTAATGTCGCCGATACGCGTTAATAATGGACATCCAATAGCCTATTTCGAAGAACTTGAAACGATTCAATTTGCTGTAATATTTCAAATTAATACGATATACAAATATGTATTTTTACTTTTAATAAGAATCACTGCGATTAGATGCAGGCTAAAAGGAGTAGACAAGTCAAAAGTGTTCTCCGTCGCGTCTTTATCGTTCGAGCAACGTTTTATTTCCGTTCAGGTATCGTAAAAGTCTATCTTTGATCCGCCCACTGTTCACCAACTGCATAAGTATCAAAATACTCGTCCCATACATTATTCAACGCGACCGTTTTTCATTTTTCACTTCTTTTTTTTTTTTTCATCAAACTTGCCGTAAAGTGGTGCAACCCTTTAAATAATTCATTACGAAAACAACGTACATAGTTGGACGGTATCGAAGTCGATCGATCGCGTGGATACTTACATTTTTCTCACTCTATATGTACATAAATTTTTTTCAATCATAATGCGATGAAAATGATTCTTCTTCGACGTTTAATCTTACAGGGGTGATTTTTCAAATCACATTGAAAATTTGGTAATTTTTCTGATTCGCATTAATTTTGCAAGTATCCAAACCAAAGCCATCGAGATTTTGACGAGAACCATCACGATCGGAAATTACCACGAAAGTGTCTTTCATTTTGTCGCTGTACACTGATGTCGAATGCATCATTCATTTCCGGAATTGTGTGTCCGCTTTTTCACATACCGTCAGAACACAAACCGCATAATTTATTTGGCTTTTAGTCTGAATTTTCCTTTGCTTTCAAAAAAGTATTGGTTCACTCTGCTGAAATAATATACAATTTAATTAAACTCACAAACTCGCATTATTTCTTAATTATTTTTAGTGAATGTATGAAATATTTGATTGATTTTTCAACTAAAAAGTTATATTCTCTTACGTAGTCTCGGTATGGAGCATCAATGAGCTCTTCATAGCGAAGAGCTACTCGAGAACTTAAACCTTCTCGGTCGAGCAGCTTCATTAAGTGGTATGCGATCGACGCATTATAAATGACACTTCTCTCTTTGATCTTCCAATAACGATTTATCTACTTCAACAGAAGATTATTATAAAAACCGATCTTCCGCGTTAGAATTAAAAAATTATAAGTAATTTTTCATAAACCATTTATAGAATCATTTTTATTAAACTGTTATCTTCGAATAGATACGGTGAACATGCTATTTTATGATACTTTTATGTCATCGAGTCACGTCGGACTTGTCACGTTTCGAAATTGACTATTTGATATGCAACACCCTAATCTGATAGATCGGACGTCGGTGTGCATCGGTAGGTAAAAAAATAGGGAAAACGGGGCTGAACGTGGACAATTATCATAGTAGGTCGGCGAAGGTGACCCGCAAAACCAGGGTGGCCCAATGGGTGCACGTCAGAATTATAGTCTCCCGTCACGCCATCTTAAAGCGTGTTTCACGGTGAACGCTTCGTTAACGCAGCTCTCGTCGTTACTTAACGAGCTATCGCCTGCTAATAAATTACTTACCTATAAAAGCGGACGAATCCGCCGCGGCTTTGCAATTACCACAGCCTTTGGATTTACTCTCCCTCGTGAAATCAAACGTGGCTTATTCGAACGTTAACATTTCGCTCAGCTTTGATCCGCAACTGATACGAAAATGCAGGCTACATTTTACGAGGAACGATGAAACGTAAACGTGGATGTTTACAAAATCCTTCGTTCGATCGATACGAAGTGTGACTGGTAAATGGTCAGAATGATATCTCTCAGTTTACAGTATCTTGTAACTCCGACTCCTGGCGATCAATCTTACTATAAAACAGAGAAACAAGAAATTGTAATTGCCTCGAGGCAAAACCAGGCGGCATTAATTTTTTTAGGCAAGACAGCTTGATATTAACCTTTGGAAGGAAGAATCCCCTAAAACGATTGATGGACCAGTCGGTGGAATAGAGAAGGGTTCTAATCTTGTTTCAGTGAATCCTTTTTCTCCTCGGGATCATTCTGGGAAATTAGATTGTTACTTTATGTGAAATTTTAAATTAAAACATACTATTTATTTTAGCAGTTGTAAATATGGTATTTCTTCGTTACTACATATTGCAAAAATATTCGCTCGCTAAAAATAACAAGGCTGTTAGACATGCCTTTACGACGAAGGATCGCGTGAATTGCAAGACTTAGAAACGGATGTCGCGGACATGAATGTCCTGATGATGAAGCGGTTCAAATCGATACGTAATGCATTCATATAAGTTTTGCCGTGTTTATAAATAAACCCCTTTTCCGTGACCCAGCTCTAGTCGGCTGATAATGAACATTCGCGACGAAAGTAACACGTTCGACGTTTCATGAATTTTCAACGACGATGATTCGTGGAAAAATACGGGTCGCGATTAAATCGGTACCGTCGTCCTTTTTATTCTCTCTCTAATGTCAACAGATGTTATCTGTATCTTGTTGAAATTCTTTTAAGCAAAGTTCTGTTAACGATTTTTTCTCATTTTTCTAATGAAAAACTAAAATTAATTTTTTAACTGATTCTGATACAAGTAATAATTAATTTTAATTCTTAATTATCGATCTAGAGAAATTGATAATTAAAATTTTGCTTTCGAAATCACAATACTCTTGATTGAAAATTAAAATTTCATCCTTTTTAATTATAATCTAGATTTCAGTTACCATATAAATTGAAATTTTTATAAAATATTATAGTCTCTATTGTTTTTGTGCTGTTCGTTACGTACCTATATATTCCATGAATATTTTAATTGTATATTTGATTTGGTTCGTTGAAGAAAACAATGAAAAAGATTTCCGATGTATATCGAAAACATTTTTATATTTAAAAGAAAGCAATATATAAGTTCCTTTGTTTAATACAAATAATATTACAGCTGCATTATATCCTGTTCATGTCAGCAATAAAGTACTTCTTTTACAGTTTCAGTAAAATTTATTGAAACGTTTGCAAATATTTATCCTATACAGTTTATACTCACTAGGAATAATGAAAAAATAAAGGAAGAATATTGCGTTTGTACACTAGCGTGTTTGGTAGAAACAATATGAAATGAAAAACTTTCATCGTGCATGGATCAATTCAATAAATGCATTAAACTCGATCTGATCAAAGACATTTATTATTTAATTTTAGTATCACTTTTGAAATATTTTTTAAATGTTATAAAAATCAATTTTCTTTTATTTACAGGTTCATGGTGGTATTGGTGTGCCTCATATTTAGTGTTTTGTCAACGATAGACCAGTACAGTAACTTCGCGAACGAAACTCTCTTTTGGATGGTAAGTTGAAATGTACTAAAAATTATTAAATTAGCTCGTTAATTAGAAAAGAATTTTTTGATAGAAAAATATTTTTATTCTTATAATTCAACAACTAAAAAACCCCTACATACAGCGTGATACTTTAAAATGAAAAAGAGTTTGAACTGTAAAAATAGGCTTCCTCTCCTTTAAAGGTTAAGGTTGGGTCTGAAATGACCCAACATCCGATGTTCGAGGGTTGATATAATACTTTATCCAAAGCGTAGAAAATTATCAAATTGGTAATTGCAAATATTATTAAAATAAATAACCTCGTTATGTCATCTACTTTCCATAATCTTCTATACTGTACAAAATATTTCTTTTTGGCACAGTTGCATCATTGAAATTCCTATCTTTTACTATCATCAGAATTAACGAAGGCACTTGTGGTAACCGTGCAAATCGATAACGATTTGATAGCAATCGGCGGGGAATGAGGCCAGCATTTGCACAACAAACGTTTAATTGAAATTCCGCCAACTTTTCGGGGCTTATAGCGAGTTAAATTGGGCACATGTAACCACGTGAGTTGTCAAGAAATAAGGGAAATGAAACTTTTAAGGTATTGTCCCTTGGTGATACCCTGAAGGTATCCTAAATGTAGCACTGTCAGCTATTGTCAAGTGAACCATAGATCCTGCTTATGTACCTCAGGTACACACCATAAAAAGCTTTCTACACGTGTATTACAAGGTTTGACAAGTTGGCATCTTCACCCTAATAACGTGTCGTCCCTAACTTCCGGTTTTCTTCTATGTAACGACGTAAAAATAGCTCGAGCAATTTTGTGTCTAACATCTTTCGACAATCTTATTTTTCTTTTTCATCGATTCTTTTTAATTATTGTGGAATTATTTTTCTACATTTATTTCTTTATAATTACATGAACATCAGCAATCTTGTCGCGATATTATTTAATAAAATTGAACCATCTCTCATCGTTAATTAAGTGACGAATTATTTTTTCATTAGCAAAAACTGTTTTGCTAATATTATACGAAAGATAATTGCAAGAATAAATCAGGACACGAGAATGGAAATATTAAAGTGAAAAGAAGCGTAGTATTGTAAATCCAATTAAATATAATGACCAAGCGAAATTTTCCACAATAACACAGGCTGACATTAAAATTTTTTTATAGTTTCTCGTGACACGGTTATCAACGATTTCGCAATTACAACTTGTCCACTAAGATTTCGCTCGATCTCTTGATGCAAATCTCTCGACGGATGTTTATCATGCGCATAATCAAGTGCTTCAGACCGCGAAGTTTGCTGATTACATGAAAGATTTGCGAATCTCGACTTCCTTGCACGAATCCATTACACCTCGGTACATATGCGGCTGTAGATTTTACTTTAAGTTTTGATTATAAACGTAGTGACTATTTCAACGAATATACGTAAAATGTATCAGGAATATGCTTAAGGAAAGTAGCGTTTTTGGCGAAGCAGAAGTTCTAATAATCTTAATAATTTTGATGATATTAACAATAACACTAAAACTACTACACCAGTCAAAATGATTTGTTTCAAGTTTCTTATTTTAATTTATAAATTTTAACGAACTCTATATATATGAGTCCCTCTCCCGGTACATTGTCAGTCTCCCCGGGGTCACCGAGAAGGTAGGATCGGTAGTCCCGAGAAGAGGAATCCTATTTGGGTAACCCCGGGAAGCCTTCGAAATTTTTTATAAAAAATGTCATACATTTTCTATTAAAGCAGCCTAAAAACATGAAAGTTTCACGGTGCTTCTTGACACCGCGATTCTGTCATCGATGTCCCCATTTTTCTAGGGCGACGTTGCGCTACAATAAAGGTCGTACAATCGATATAGTATCTTTATATGTATATTGTCCCGCTCGTTGCATATTTATTTTAAGAACACAGGAAACTAATGACTGCGCCAGCCTAGAAAGTCATCACGAAAATGCTTCCTCTGTTATTACGATTATCGTCCGGTCGGGGTAATTTTCTTTTCTCTTTTCCTTTCTTTCTCGCGTTCCATCGGTACATTTTATGGATCGATTTGTTTATTCGCGTCTGCAACATCGCGTGTTAAAAATTTGTTATTCAACGAGTGCGATTTTCAGGCTCGAATTAAAATTCATTTGTTCATTCTGTTCGCAGGAAATATGTCTGGTGGTATTTTTCGGTGTGGAATACATGGTCCGACTATGGAGCGCGGGCTGCAGGTCAAAGTATATGGGTTGCTGCGGCAGGCTGCGGTTCATACGAAAACCGATTTGTATCATAGGTAAGTATCGTTTGTACGATAGCATTTCACCTAATACACGTGGGGTCACTTCAATCAGTCTGTGTCCAAACTAATCCAATATTCGCATTGTTCGATTGTCCTGGAGGCAAAATTAGATCGGGAATGCTGTAGCTTGTTTTGGAACGAAAGGAGAACTCTACGCCAAAACTGCTTAGAATCGACAAGTTCCATTATCGCGCATATTCTGGAACCTTTATCAAAGTCGATTGATTATTCACAAACGCGATAGGTGTAATTTGAATAAAAAATTATTCGATAATCTAGAATATCTCCAGCCTATTTGAAATACCTATTCTGTTCGATGATTAATAATTCTCAATTCTGCTTTAGATCCGGTATTGATCGTGTGTGGTTTCTTTTTTAACCGGTTCGCATAATTGAATCGCGTGAAAGTATAGGGGTAAGATCGACTGATCGAAAACGTCGCCGCTCGTTCGAGTGACGTTCAATGTGATTCGCGATTAAACGAACTTTACGAGCGACTAAATTGTAACACCTAGCCGGATATTAATCGAACCAGCCATCGCGTGTTTACCTGCGAGGCCGATTACGTGCGCTCTAGATTTCCATGGGGTATTCAGCATCACGTAACGTCGCGCGATCAGATGCAAATGGCAGAAATTCAAATTTCAACAAATTTGAAATGAATTTGGTTTTGTTCTCAGATTTAATCGTGGTAGTGGCGTCTATGGTGGTGTTGTCGGTAGGGAGCAACGGCCAGGTGTTCGCTACTTCCGCCATAAGAGGCATCCGATTTTTGCAAATACTGCGAATGCTTCACGTCGACCGGCAAGGCGGCACGTGGAGACTTCTTGGTTCTGTCGTTTTTATTCATCGTCAGGTATGTTTATTAATGCAATTACAATTAGAATTCTTACATCAGAATTTGCATCACAAAAGCCAGTATCCTTAAAAATATCTCTCTTTCAATATAGAACAACTACTTAAAATTAAATGCCATAATTTACCGCATAATCTAAAATATATGAAGGGGTAGAATTTTTCTATTCTTCGATCGAAAGTTCTGACATCTTTTGTTTTCGATTCAAAAGAGCGTACTATACAATTATTCGATGTGAAATTATTCCAAACGACCTATGACTGGCTTAATTTTCGATCTGAATGACAAACAACCTTCAATTGTTCGCGTGCAAATAAATTGACCCGGATCTTTTGTGCCGAGCCTTCAGTGTTATTAGGGGGAAAATATTTCAATTGTTAGCGATGTTGTTCATCATTTCCAGGAGCTGATCACGACGTTGTACATCGGGTTCCTAGGTCTTATTTTCAGCAGCTACTTTGTGTATCTGGCCGAAAAAGATGCTGTTGGGCCCGATGGAAAAACAGACTTTTCCAGCTACGCCGACGCGCTATGGTGGGGAGTGGTAAGTACATTTGTTCTTTATTTAATTAATTAAATAAAATTAAAAATCTCTCCCTATTCCTCCTTCCTTTAAAGAAAACAAAAAAAAAAAAAAAATGGAAAAGAAAAGATGCAATTACGTTCGCAATTAAACCGATCGTATGGAAAGTAGCCGGTGTCTATTTTCATTGTACGGTATCGATGTGTAATAGGCGCGTGTTTCGCTCGTTCGATTTCTATTTACCGGAATAATTAATTCGGTCCAGCTGGCAAGCAGAAACCAGGCGAACTGCGCCAGCTTAATTGTATGCAAGCTGTTCGTAAATGTTTATTAAGCGGCCGCTGCTAATCACTCGGAAAATATATATTTGTATTCGTAGCCGTCGAATGGGCAACGAGAGAATCGATGAAGCCGAGGCCGAGCGACGATTTAAACGTCGCTTGATTAACGTCACGTCGTCGATTGTCGACGTTCGATCGTTGTCCGATTTTCCCGAGAATTTTCCTCGATGAAAATGCTGGAAAATACTCGTCGGTTAGATTGCACGGGTAGTGGTGAACGTTCCTGTCTCGAAAAGACACGATTCGATAGGACGAATCGAAACTTCCATCGACCTTGGTCTTTTGTTTTTCATTTTTTATTTTCCTTCGATTATCCTGGCCTCGACGAACGAATTTCATGGAAAAATGTTTGAATTATTGTATAGGGGTAAATTGTGCTTTCCAGATTACCGTGACCACCATTGGCTACGGTGACACTGTCCCACAAACGTGGATGGGAAAGATAGTTGCTTCGTGTTTCAGCGTGTTCGCTATATCCTTTTTCGCACTTCCAGCCGTAAGTATAATTATTCTTACATCTATCATAATTACGTAAATTATTCTAATAAAGATATATAAAATCTGTTATCTACGGATTGATAATTCATATTTTAAATTAATCAATTTCAAATTAAAGTTGTATGTGTATTTCTGTTGCAGGGCATACTGGGCTCCGGTTTCGCATTGAAGGTCCAGCAAAAACAACGACAAAAGCACTTCAATCGGCAGATACCGGCTGCCGCAATGTTGATACAATGTTTATGGAGGTGTTACGCTGCCGACAAAGCCATCAACAGCGTGGCCACCTGGAATATTTATATAAAAGATCCAGCACCAGCCGGACAGCCGTCCACACCATTGGGAAAGGTAAGCTTTCGCGACTTTTTCGCCTCCAGTTCGGTGGCAGCAGCTACTAGCCGTTGGTTGTTGTTGTTTCTAGTTGCTTACGATGTTCCCTCGGTCGTCTGAATCGTTTAGATTGATTTCAAAGTCCTGTCGTTTTACTATTTCAAACAATATGAATTGATTAATTAACGGTGATTGACAGAATGCAAATTAACTCGTATTAATTATTATACCTATGTTCAGTATGAACATTATATTTATTACTATTATTATTATTAATATTTATAAAATATTACTATCGGTGATTAGTGCCTGATATTTTATATAATCGATTAATTATTAATATTTTTACAGTAAATACCATTCGTAATTAACGCCTCTAATTTTATATAATTGATAAAATATATTATACAAATCGATGACAGAGCTTTCTGATCAACCTAATACATTGTGATACTTTTGTAATTATTATATATTCGAGGGGTTCGTTTATATCGGTGATTCAAGGACACTGTTTCGATTAAAAACACTTTCAGAAGTAAGAATTTGCTTGGTATAAATTTCGTTGATTAAATCAAATGTAGCTGAGAAGTTGTTGGAAGTATAAGTTTAATTAATACTAACACGGTGATTTAATACTAGCACAAATTGTGTACACTTCGATAATTAATCCTAGAACGACATTATGGGGTGGCTGGCGACCCCATCAAAATTTAATCTAATGTTACATGTTTGCATATTTGATTTGTTAATTGCTAAAATCTTATTGAAGAAAAAAAGCTTTAATTGGTATTTTCTCTGGACTGTTACGAAATTTTATCAAGTAATATGTAAAATTTTAATAAATGACTTTTAAATAAACAATGCAACAGTGTCGTTGTAGGATTAAAAAAAGAACAACTATGCTAATAACGTGAAGTGTTAAATTGAAATTTCGCGAATTTCATTGAAATTATTAATTCCGGGTGAACGAATTCCTGCACCGTTTTTTGAAACAATGCGATCGCGGGAGTTCGATTGCCTGGCGAAGTCATGCAGATAATTTGGCAGTGGATGGATGCAAGCAAAGAATGCGAATTCTGCTCTGTTTTTTGCCTTTTTCTTTTTCCTTCGATGTGCCATTACGTATATCGGAGTACAAACATAACTGAGTGTTGCTCGTGATTTATTCGTGTGTTTGATGCAGTTCGAATTGCGCTTGGAAGCTTTTTGTATATTACCCTTCGAATCGAAGTTTCGCTTTTCTTATTTCTTCGCTCTCCTTTTTGTTCTGCTCTGTAGAAGATCAATCTTTTACAATGAATTTCTTTTATTTTCATTTGCCAGATGAATTTTTGGCATATCGTGTGATTTTTTCAAATTACACAAATAAATCTTTCTTCGCCTTTTATTCGTACTTAATTAACTTTGATGAGGATACTCTGGTTAATTGATCAATTTTCCAAATTAATAAAATTTGGGAGAAAAGAATGAACAGCAAGGAATCGTAAGACGCGATAAATTAATTTTCCAGTTACTGAAAGTACTAAAAGTGTAATTAATTTTATCAAATATTCAGTCATCAAAGTGTTAACTATAACAAGAAATAAAGCAAAGATCCTCTTTTTTCTTCTTGGGAAAAATACCAGGTAATCAGATTTCTACATTTAATTAAAAAAAAAAATGTACACTAATTCTATTCCTTTTTTCTGCCTTACGTTTCTATCGCTTTTTAGCATTCTTTGAAGGAAAGATGAAACTTTCTTTCTCTTGGTATCTCTGGTTGCCTTTGTATGACTGTTTTGCCTGGTAGATTTCGTTGGTTTCTGTTAATTGGTCATTGAACGCTTGTAAATCGTGCGAGGAAATTAAACGATTCGAATTTTCTGTTTAATTAGAAATGAAATTATTCAAGTAATTTATTGTAGGAATTTGCATAATTGTTTCGATTTAGATACGAAATACTCTGTTGTATAAATTGCAAGTAGAACATTGTTTGAATCGCATTCGAATATAGAAAGATTTTCTTAAATAAAAAATAGAAGGTAAGAATGTTGAAGATTGTTGCGATCTTGTATTTCTCGCATCTGCTGCCAAAAATTCCAAGATCAGTATCTTCTTTTTTTTTCTCTCTATCTCTTCTTTTTGTTTTTTATTTCAATTCTTGTGCGTAAATATAATAATCAGCCTCTTATTGACCCCGTTTATTGGACAATATATATTGTATATATAAAATGTACCTAATATATTTCAGTTGATTTGTGTAAAGAAGATGGTATGTAAAGGCCTCAGATTTATTTCAATTTTTACTCTTTTGCATGTTTATTTATTTACTATTTTATCACTTTCTTTATCACCGAAACGGGAACATATACATATAGTCGCGTTGTTACACACGAGTATGATTAATTAGTCTGGTTGCAGGAGCAATAAATAGTTCAATATCTCGAACAAAACTGGAATTCATTTTTTTTTTTTTTTATTATTCAAAATAATAAAAATTCCAGTATAAATGACACGATGACAGTCAACGTTCAGCTTTGTCCAAGATATCACACTATTATCAATTTTTATACGCTTCTGCAACCAGACTGAATGTTATCAAAAATAGAAGAAGAATAACATAAAAATATAAAGGAAAGAATTTTACGATTCAACCAACGTCGCTATTCGCTTTTTAACTTTCCTTCTCTCTCGTCTGGCTTGTTCACGAGGGAACGTTCATTTCGAACCTCGAAGGGATAGACAGTTAACGAGCTCGTGTTATACCGTTGATCGAGCCCAAAAAAGGTGCAACGCTTTTTAGCATCGATTTTCCGAGCAATTTTGTGGCAAACAACAACGAATGTTTGTACGATCCTTCGTGCTTGTATCTTTTCAAAGCGAATGTTTATAGAATTCTAAATCGATTTAGCCTGAAGGATCTCCTTTGCTACGAAATAACGCGATCATTTGATACGTTTCATTTCTCCTATGTGTATCTTTCAAATATTACTGCACACTTTTTTAAGCTTACTATTACAATTTGAATTTCTCTTTTCTTTTTTTTCTCTAGCGAAGATCAGTGTTATGCGATGTGCATCTTGTATCTTGCATGCGCCTGCAATTTCTATGTGTCGTTATGTTCTGTGTATTATGCAAATTCATGTAGCTTATGTGTGTACAGGGTGTCGAAAGAAATTAAGGGTAGTTTGCTTCAGGGTTTCATGGTTGGGTGTTGATAAGACGTTGTATAGTAAATTGTAAAAAGTATTTATAAGCTTGGTGGTGTGATAGATAGTTTAAATTCATTGGCTTTCGAATTTGAACTGTAGATAAATTGTTAAGATAGAATGAAATTTTTAAATAAAAGAGAACAAAGAGTCAAGGTACGTTCTGCAATTATGCAAAGATTTGAATATATTAGATAATAATTTTTTTTTTTTAATTATCTTCTAATAATTTCTGTAGTTTTTTAACAAGTTTCTGATATAAATATAACAATTTAGATTATGTACTTTGAATCAATTTAAGGAAAATGAAAAATAGAATTTATATATTTCAACACTCTTGGTTTTAAAGATACTCTGTACCTACAAAGTGGGCTGTTAACGATAGCCGGGATGATTCTGCACAAAACATTACACCAATATTTACAAAATATATTAAAAAGTAATTAAACATATTTGCTAGGTAGTCGATAATCGTGGATCAGTAGTATAAGATCGTAAATAGTCAGACGTGACTGAAAAACATAGGATTTTTGTTTATCTTTCAGTTTATCAATAATGTCACTAGTTTCTAAATTTATTAAAAATTCTCTAATTATTCAGAACATCAATTATCAACTATAGGATAAAAAATTAATATACAAAAATTCTAAATTATGCTGTTTTATATTTTTGTTATGTCCACTACTTCTAATGAATATTAGTGTCTTATAATCAATGAAGTAGTTTCATTAACACCGTTTCACAGCAGAATCATCCCTTCGTTAACTCGGTTCACGGTGCACGCGTATTTGTTTTTCTATTCGCATCAACCTGCAATGAAAAGAGAACTTACGCTCGACGGCTGTCGCGATTGTCGATAAAAAGCATCGTTTATCTACCAGATTTTTAGAGATTTGCCAGCTGTGCATTACCTTCGCGTTCTTCCTTGAAATTTTCTTAAGTACTTAATGCGTGCCAGCCTACGGTATAAGGTTAATGCAGAGCTTATGTTAGTGGCCCCGAAAGTAGGTTTGAAAACCGATGCTGACCCAGTTTCACGTCATTCGTGCACGGAAACTCGTTTCATTTTCGGTGTTATCCATCAGAGGTTGGTTCGTTTGCGCACGTGAAAAATTCGATAAACTGGAAGAGAGAAGAGGAGCGAATAAATATTGCAATCCTTGTTCCATCTTCCCTAAAAACAAACCATTTTTCCTCTTTCCCTTTACTCTTCATTCATTTCTATAATACGACGACACAAAGAAACAATTGACTCGCTAATGTGTTATTTAATTAGCCTAATTCTTTTAATTAATTTTATATGGTTACTTATTTTCTGAATGCGTTGGATAACCGTGGTCTGCTCCAAAAGCAAGGATTCTATTTCAATTCCTATTATCCCGATCTCTATTTCCCATATATTGCTGTAATATCGTAACACAGAATTCTCACATTCACAGGAAAATATTAAATAATATAACACGTATTGCGTGTGATCGACGCTGAATATATTAAGTAACCTTAGTCGGTTTGAAATGCGAGGATTATATTTCAATTTCCATCTACCTCTCCCATGAATTTCTACGATATCGTTATCATAAAATTGATGACAAATCATGTAAAAATGTAGAAAAGATATAAAAATCGCGTCAGCCAACGAGCCTAAGTTGCCAAGTGGACAGGTGTAGCCATGATTGAAAGCAGGTGGCGAGATAGGGAGCTTTTCAGATGGAACTGGGCCGAGCTGGTGCTCGCTAGTAGGGATAGTGCATGTTGTGTTCGACGTGTGATGTAATGGGAGGGCACCGGGGGTTCAGTCTCTGATGATCCAGGTGGCAAAGAAGGCGAGCGTACTGAAGAGGCGGAAATCGAGGAACCGGATGGATGTTCAGCAACAACAACAATCGTTGCCACCGGTCACGATATCCGGTGGCGTGTCCAGCGCTGCTGCCGGCGATGCTTCTGGTCAAAACGACAACCAGAGAATGGAGAACGAGGGTGACGTTATCTTCTACATGGAGGAGCCGAAAGCTGGTACACCGAATCGTGCCAGACGCGACAACCGGTGAGTCGTTCATCGATTTTCTTTCTTTTTTTTTTTTAATTAATAATTAATCAGCTGTCAGATATCGGCAAAAGCTAATTAAGGATTTTATGTATATCTCTTTTTTCATTTTTAATATACGCAAAGTTAAAAATATTTAAATAATTTTAAAATAGGGGTGTAATAACAATAGGTAATATAGAATAATGATAGAAGAATTATAATTCGATTCAAAGCTTTTGATAGCTATGGATGAATGCAACTGAACAGTGACAGTTCGCTGGAAATTCAAGCGAGAGAAGAAGGGATTTCGTTGATCCCACTGAAATTGGCGAGACGATTCGCTTTGGAAATAAAGTACCGCGAGCAGCCGCGTTGAATTTCAAAATGAAATCCCGTGAACGAACTTATTTCGCCTCCGGTTTTTTCGCATTATTCGGAAAAGCGAGGAGTGCACACAAGAGGCCGGTGAAAAGAACGCGAATTCTCGCCGGTAAACAGTCGCGAATAATTTGCATGCTCCACGCTCGAGGCGGCTGAAACTCCATTTCAAGTTTCACGATTTATGGCAGACTAGAACAGAGTTCCGTACCCTTCAATCTCGTTGAAGCTCTAGAAAATTGTTAACTTTCGATCGATCTGGCATCCGGTATCAAACTGTTAAATAAAATAAAATTTATAGTGTGCCCCAGAGAAGACACCAGAACTTGGCTGACGATCCCAAAATAATGAAAACACTTACTTTGTGTAGTATTATAAAATTATAAAAAATCCACGGTATTTCATAAGATCCATCTAAATATTTTCTCAATTTAATCCCCGACATCATCGAAAGTTAGATTATCGTTAAAATCAATCTCTTGACTCGACACCGGCGACAGGTCTTTAAGTAACTTAACTTGATGACAAAGTTGAGAAAAGTGGATCGTAACGTGTGCCTATACAGGATATGCGTGAGAGTGAAAGAGGGAAAATTCTGCGGAAATTTCACGGCGATATAATAGGGGGTAGGGTAAAGTTGGCCCGACAGGAAACGTCAGCCAAGTGAAGGACACTTTCTCTGGGACGGTTTTGAACGTCGAAGGAACTAGTTTTCGAGCCTGGTAGTATGAGTAGTGTGTTTCCGGTCGGCAGGGGAAGCCTCTTCACCTCGCAGACGAGTTCCGTCACGGAAGCGACCAGTGACGAGATCGACATTGATATCGAGGAGCCTCAAAGGGTCACCACGTGAGTATATATAATAACTTCTCTTATTTTCAATTTTCATTATTTCGAAACGATCTTCGAACACGATCGTGTACGGTGCGTTACATTGACATTTCGAGCGACTCCGCGTTCTCGAAATAGGAATTGACGCGTTAGCTCGCGGCGGCTCTCGTGAAAGGGTACTTCTTCCTCTTTCCTTCTTTTCTTTTTTTTTTTTTTTTTCACTCGCGGAAAGCACGATACGTAAGTGCTTTTTTTCACTGGTGCATTACTCCGTTTCGCGGACGGCCTACATTCTTTGCAGTTCGTACTCGAAGCCCTGACACAAAGACAGTGCCGGCCAGATTTCCAGGCATCTCTTCTTCGCGCGGTTGCATTCGCGACGCATCCCTCGCATAGTTTGATACTCGAGCCACGTTTCTGTTTTTTTCCTCCCCTTTAAACGAACCTTGCCGACGCTTTTGTCCCGGCAACGCGAGATCGTCCGTGAAAAGCGGCCGATTCTGGCCGCTGCAGCCACTTCAATTTTCCTGCGAATTAACGCCCTAAAAAGAACTCCTCTCCCCCTTATGGAATATTGTTTAAACAACGATGAAAATCATTTTTCACCTCGCGTCTGTCTTCAGTTTTAATTTGAAAATAAAAATAGCAAGAAGTTACAAATTGCACAATTTTATTGTTGCTTGCAAGATTCTCTGTAAACGTGCAACTAAATTTTTCTTTAGAAAAAAAAAAACAGAAGATAGCTTGTTTATTCGAAGCGAAACGATGTAGCATCCTCGTATAGAAACGAGGAACAACTACTTTCCTCAAGAATGTCTCTCTCGACTGTTCTCAAAGAAAATGCGTGGGTAGTATTTCTCTCGTTTGAAGAAACGCGAGTAGTTGTAAGCTTATACTGAAAAGGTTTCTTTCTAATTTGTAGCTTATTGTAATTTAACAAGCGAAAGTATTTTGTTACATTCGTGAAATAAATTCAATTTGGAAAATGTTGAACTCCATTTTACCAGGAATAAATAATTCTGTTTGCTTGTTTCCACTTTCAAATAAAAAACGAATATTACCTTAATTTTTATACAAAAAATTGAAAAAAAAAAGAATGAAAACATGCGAACAATAAAATTGTACATTTTCGACATTCTTTTCTCGAGTTAAAAAATAATTAAAACAGAGAATAACTATCTGTGCGATGCAACTGTTATTACCGTGAAAATAATGGCAAACAAAAGGGGGAAAGAAATATTTCAATTTCATTCCTGGTTAACTCGCATGAAATAAATCATAGAGTAAATGGAATTGGTTGTTAATTTAACCGGAAACCGGCATATTCAGAACCGCGTGAAAATCAATCGCCCGGATCGCCAGTCAACGACAGGAGACCTGGCCAGGGAAAAGAGGAATTTATGGTCATCGTGAAAAGGATACCGATTCCCGTACCAATTTTGCGTATATTGTATTTATTACTAATCGAATCATTATAATTTTCAGGCTAACCGAGGCACATCGAAACGCCATCAGAGCGATCAGAAAGATTAAATACTTCGTGGCGAGGAGGAAATTCCAACAAGCGCGAAAACCATACGATGTACGAGACGTGATCGAGCAATACAGCCAGGGTCATCTGAACATGATGGTGCGAATTAAGGTGAGTAAACATTTTTTCATTTCCAATTGTTTAGAAATTTCTCAGAACTCGTTGCTTGTTAGTGGCTTTCGAGAGAAGAATTTTATGTAAAAGAAAACTAGGGTGGCTTTGACATGTCGAGATTACGCAGAAAGTTCCTTTACGAATATGAATATTAATGTTTACGTGTGTACTCGTGCAAGAGGAATATCCTGGCGAAGCTTGAAGAAGGAATATTGTGCTTGCTGAAATATAGGTAAATCTCCCGCTAAACTCTCTGCTAGAAGGTTTTCTCGAAAATTACTTTGAAATTAAGTAAGCATTTAATATTTCAGGATTTTCTATTCTCTAAAAATTTTTCCCAGTTATTAATTTCTTTAATTAAGTATTGAAAACGAATTTCCTGTCAAAAAACTTCGCTAACGATATTCGTTTAATTATGTAAAAATATCCTGATAATATTTTAATCAACTAATTTTTGTCATACGAATGTAAAATTAATCAGATCTCTTAATTAACTGGGAGAATACTGTTAATCGTGATCAAACGTTTAACGTCACACGATAAGGGTTGATTTCGCGTTACGGGGTGAGACAATAGCAAACGTTGTATCTCGTATCGTTTCCCCATCAGAGTGGATGCAGATTGGAGCTCGACAATTATTACCTAGTTGCCAATCGACGAGCGAATAAAGCCAATGTCAGCTACTTGGACAATGGAATTGTCAATGGACGGAGTAGTCAGGGTTGGGTTAGTTTGATCGGCTGTCGACATAATAGCGTGGCGATCGGTTGCGTATCGAACATCCCCCCTGCGTTTCGATGCACTTTGCTGTTTCAACCACCTGTCTATGATGGATTGAAGTTGTCAAAAATGATCAATCATTTGTGTTATTTATGGTATCCCACCGAAAAATTTCTAGTTAAGTAAATAACAAAAATTTCTTACAATATGATCGATGGATTCCTATAAAAATTCAACTCGCATACAATTAATTAAATAATTCAATAATCTATTCTTTTTGTTTAATTTAAACATGAGTCACGCATGACCCAGATAATTTCATTTGAAACAATCGCGTTACGTTAACTAAACCGACACTTTAGACTAGTTTTCAGGAAGGGGAAGATTGAGATGAATTGAAGGTATCCTGTTTCGTAATAGCAATCAAAGGATCCTGCTCGGTAATGGATTTCGCTGGCTTCATTTAATCTCGCGTACATTAACAGGTCCAAACTGCAGAATTTGAGTTATAATAACGAGACTATCGTACGAAACACCATACTGTTTTATAATTACCTACCGTTTGAATTACTGTATTAATTGTTTAGGCCATTACATTATTATCTCATTGTTAGGATTTTCTGGTACGCCGAGCATAATATGAATTTGTTAACTCGTTACACTGAACCGATATCGCTTTTACTCTATTGTACAGCCAGACCGCGGCGTTTATCAAAGCATGTCACTGTAAAATGCGATTAATTAAGGAGATTAATTAACGGTTGCTACCAGCGTATTAATTGTGTTTCCCCGGTAATGCATGTTTGGCAAAAGTTATCCATCGTTTGTGGATACCATAAAGGTTTGTTCAAATTTTACATTGAAAATCTTCCGAAATTCAATTCTCTTCTCGTAATTAGAAGGAGTATCATTTCCTAATTAGGAGGAATATCGTTTCCTAATTTGATGTAATACCATTATCACCCATATACGATCCACGTCACTCGTATGTGGGTCAAATCTCTAATATCCAACTACCCAAATCTCTAAGCAGATTCTGTACTTGCGTTACATTATTATGATTGATAGCATCAAAGTACTTACACTATTCATACGAAATAACTTCGACTGATTCTAATGGTAATATAAGTATTTATTTATTGATTTTATTTGTCTGTAAATAAAATATCTAAGGAGAGGATCTTGGAATAAATTGTAATATAATTGAGTAATGTTATTTATTAATCAATGCCCGCGTGATTTATATTTTTGTACAGGAATTACAAAGGAGGTTGGATCAGACCCTGGGTAAACCAGGTAGTTATTTGGCAGGAATCGACCGAGCAGGCAACGTGAAGCCAATGACGATAGGCGCACGCTTGTACAGGGTTGAACAACAGGTGAGTTTATTGAAAAAATCTTCTTCAACTTAACCCTCTAGCATATTTCATCCATTTTCAAAATATATAAATATTGTTAGTTAACAGGAAAATTCCAAAATTATTACGAATTTAATAAGTCCATAAAAGTTTCAGAGTTCTTTTTCATTAATCACTAATTAATGTATGTTACAATTCTCCTAAGGAAACAGTATATAATTAGGCCTGGTACTAATGTCTTCTTTTCAGTCTAATAACCCGAACACCTCTGCAATTTGATATAATCGAGTGACTTCTAACGTCGCGTGATAATAACGCGTTTCCACTTTCTTATTCGACGTAACGATGTTTCGAATACTAGTTTGCTACCATTTTTTCAAGGGGAGAAAGCTTTTCCATCACGACCCTTTCTCCCTGGAGGGTTGCAGATGGATGGATGTAATGGAGGATATAATTTTCAATTCGCCGGAAATCACCTACGTGGTCTGAGACTGAAATTCATTTCATTCGTCTCTCGATTCGATTAAATTAACGCGATTAGGGTGAGCTTAATTATCGTCGCAAGATTTCGTACATTCGATAAATTGTCCAACTTTAGGATCGTTCGGTGAAAATTGATGAATTGCTAAAGTTAATGGTAATTTGAAGATTCTTCCTTCCTCTGTAATACTTTATTTTCTCTATGAATGTCCACTTTGCTCGATGCTGTACCTGCTGCAATTTGTTAGAAATGAAAGCGGATGGGTACAGCATGAAATGTATTGAAACTATATCTGTCCACAGTTGTCCGTGATGGATAAGAAATTGGACCAGCTGGTGTACGTGCTGAACGCTGTGGCACAAAAGCAACAAATACCCCTGAGGAGTATAGAGGACGACGTGTAACAGAAAGCCCCCGGCGAGCTCGTGCCATCTGTTTCACGATCATTGGCAATACCGTGGACTTTGCCTCGTGTTACCATAACCAACCTTGTCCCGGGCATGTTCAGCGAAAGTGGTTGAATCGAGATCGTTTTTCGATATCAACGACAGAGGAGGATTTCACTGATCGATCAAACCTTCGCTCGGCAGGCTGAGGTGAAAATGACGATCAAAGGAAACTGGATGCAGCAACGATCCTTCTTTTCTCTCTTTCTCGAGGCGCAACGGTTTATTAATTTAGAAACGAAGATTTCTTAAGTGGATCAAAAGCGGCGAGGAGGGTAAGTGAATGATAGAGGTTGTTTAAAAGATGTACAGAATAAGACGAAGGTACGATTATAATTATTTTATTTAATTGAGAAACGGGTGAGAAAGTAAATTAAAGGGTTCAAGTGGATCATTATCTAATTTAATTGACGAAAAAAGATGTTGAAGAATGGTTGAAAGATGAATGTTTTGAGATAGATGAAGATAAGAATCTTAATTCAAGTTTGCAATAATATATAATTTGATCCAATTTTTACTATCGAAGAATGATTAATTGTTTGAAATGTTCCTTGACGATTTTGCAAATTGAATTTTGGAATTGGATAAATTTTGTACTCATTCGAGATGACGAAAATAGATGAAAATTTGAAAAGTGTTTCTTCCCCAAACTTTGTAATTCTATGATTGAAGATCTCGAAGTTTCAATAAAAATTGCATGAAAGCAAAGAACAAGATAGATGGTTCAGTGCCTCGAGCAATCGTCGATTTAATTCGTCTTCTCAAGATGAATCGAAACATTTCGTAGTTGAGTAACGAAGAATGATGATGAAACTGACAAAGGGATAAGTGTGTGGCAGAAATTCAATTTCATTCGATCCAAAAACAAACTTGAAGAAAATTGGTCAAATTCAAAGAACAGAACTTCAAAGTTCAATATTGGAAGATGTAATCAATTTTTTAATTGAAAGCTATTAGAAACTTGAAATATGGAATAAGTTTCGTTCCAAAAGTCATCAGATTTGTAGAAAGAAAATTAATAATAGAAGTTTTGATGATTGTTGCACCTCGTCGAAAGAAGAAGATCCAACTTCCACTCTTCGAGTCCTCTACCATCCAGTCCAAAGGAACTGGACAAATTTTTCTGGAAAAATAAAATAAAATGAAACGCTTCGATACTTCCGCTACGTAGGATCCTCGAAACCTCTGTTTCACAAATTTAAAAAATAAAAAAACGATCACGCTAAACGCACAGGAACGATTTTTTCTCTTGGAAGGAAGAACGATCGTTTGAAATATTGCGACGATTAAAGGAATCGTATCTGGAAATAAAAATACAGATAGATTCTCGTTGTTCTGAACATATCGGTAAAGGTAGTACGCTTTTCGTGTTTCAAGTATATCGTAACCGGAAGCCCGGCTTGAACGATGAAAAAAGGAAGGACTGATCGGCTGAACGGACAATTGTGTACACGTAGAAAACGTAGGATCGGTAGACTGAGAAATGGGTCTAGAATTGTTTCAAGAACAGATTCATTTAGGATGGTAAATATATTGGATGCAAACGTCTTGGGAACATCACTTGGGCCAACTAGGAATTAATAGAGAGGAACAATAAGCAAATAAATAAATTAATTAAAAAAAAAAAAAACTTCCTAGATGAGATATCTCTTATAGGCTTATTATATACACATACAGATAACTTCTAGTCTCTGCTGGTAATAAACGATCAATTATTAAGCCTTAATTAATCACGAACTTTGAAACTTTATCGCCTAGTGTCTTTTAAATGCGAAATGGAAGGAGAAGATTGTACAAACGCGGTGTCGAGTTACTTAACTATAAACTATAACTTGTATCTTTGACGCGATTTTTTCAATTTCTAGCACAAAATGCGATGCTTTGCTCGAACAAAAGGGGAACGTATATGCTTTGAAACGAGATATGTCTGATAGTGCGGTGCCATTGATCGGTGATTTAACCCTTTGCAGTCCTAATCTGTCATTTCATCGATGATTTCGGGCGAATTTTATTCCAATAAATTTCAATAACTCCAACTTTTAATGTTTTAATGATATTACGTAAAAATAAATTGACAGTAGAATAATCAAACTTGTGAATATGACAATTCTCTAATTCAAATTTTAATGCCAATTAATCATTAATAATATAGATATTGTTTTATTAACAGCCTATATAGAAATTCAATATAGAAATTAATATTTAATCAAACTCGACTTTGGGCTGCAAAGGGTTAAGGATTTTGGTTCCCTTCGCAATTGTGGCACAATTTCGGAGAATTCTGAAGGAAGTTTGCGAAATACATGTGTGAATGGTTGTACGTGTGGATGTTTGTCGGTCTTCGATACGAACGATCGAGTTATTGGTTCCTGGATGTACAGGGTGTTCGCGAAATATTAAGAGATGCAAAAGAAATATTTCAAATTTTGCTACCAGAATTCTTAAAAATTCATATCTTCAAAAAGTGTAACAAAAATTAATTGGTTCGAGTCTAATTAACAGATTGCCCCTTTGAAAGTTAAACAGAGTTTTATTTCTTAACTTTAAGGTTCCATTCTAAGAAACATGGACATAGTTTTCTTTTAAATTCAAATCAGATACGTGTTCACAGAAACACGTTTCTATTTTATTACCCTGCAAAAATGCATTATTTATCACGAATGCCCTATGCACACCCTGAGTTGCTCGAAAATCCATGAAATCTTAAAAAACCGTATGTTTGAAACAGTTACGATCAAGAAGGCAGAGAAACGATGTACATAGTTCGGAAAGAAAAGAAAGGAGAGAAAGGGAAATAGAAAATCGAAATATATTCTGCATATACATACATATAGGAAACTAGGAATGTGCGAAAACCCGAGAGAATTTCTCTTAGAAAAAGTTATGAAAAATATATCGAAAGTATCTTGTGACATAAAAATACAGTTATACGAACTGGGATTTTTAATTTTCCGATCACTTTTAAATTATAGAATAACATGATAAAATTTAATAGAAAATTATAATAATTAGCAAGATTATAGAATACAAATTTCCAGAAAATGTAATCCAGCTGCTAAAAATTTCGGAACCTTTGGTTTTCTTATGCCCCAAGATACTTTTGGAAACCCAACCCATCGGGATTTCGGGTTTTCGTATATTCCTAATAGATACATTTATATTTTCTACGTAGGCTATTGGATATGGCACGTAAAAGAACCATAACGTTATCGACACCGTAAGAATTTCGTCGCGTTAACTCTTAAAACGATTACCTGTGGGCATGTACGAGAGTATACGAGTTTTCTTTCTAATTCCAATTCCTTGTTTACCATTCGAGCACGATTAAACACATTAAATTATTATTAGTATATAATGAATTAGAATCAATTAAACTTATTAATTTTACATTGCCTTTTGATTTACAGTGTAAATTTAAAATAAATTAGAACCATTTAAAAATTGATTATGACTCTAATTGAAAAATGAAATTAATTTCGACTAAAATAAACCCCCAGTTCTTTAATTTCCTAAATTGATTGGATAATTTCGTGCTTGAATGGTTAAACGAATAGATTGAATCCTATCGAGTGTAAAGAAATTATTCATTTTCGTGAAATGTACGAACTTTCTTTATAAAGCATAGTTTTCAAAGCATACGTTGCATTCGTTCTAATGTCGACTATAAACTATCGAGGGTTAAATCGATCTCTGCGCGGGAAGGACCAGTCTCTTGTTAACTAGGATAACATTTACCTACGCTCGAACTATTGCACTGAAAATATCTATCGTCTAACTATACTATTGTTAACGTGTAAATATTGTTAATCCATCATTCTATCATAAGAGACTTTATAAAGTATATTTCCAAGTGTTTTCGAGACACCTTCGTGCTTCTTCTTTCAATATAAATGAATAATACTTTTGTTTTTAATTTTTTTAAATTATAGCATATGCAATACTTATGTTTCTTATATTTTGATTAATTAAAATTAAAATTATCGATTTCCAGAATCTATTTAATTTAGTGGTATTTATTCAATATTGTCAAAATTTGTTATAATTTTTTTCTAAAATATATTACTTTGAAATTCTTAACGATATAAATGTCACAGAGCAAAGGGTTGATTTAATTAGTCTCGAAAGCATATTTTTATTTTATTTTTATTACAAAATTATATAAAGTATCGATGCTTCGACGAGTGTACCTTTCTATTATTTTGTAATTAATTGATTCTAGTCAAAGTATCAGTCACCAAGCGTACCTTAATCTAATTTAACTGAAATTCTTTTTTTATAGTAACTTAGCTTCCTAAGAAAATGATGAACGCTTGCTTCGTAGATAGTAGCGTGTTATATCGTGAAATTTCGCCATGCCGAGGAAAAATACCCTGTAAAAATAACTCGAGCATGTACGATCGTACGATATAAAAATTCTATGGTGCCTCTCACTCGACTAACTCCACTATAAAGCAACTGATAAACTATTGACGATAGGTTCTAGCGTAAGATAGAGTTGTAAATAAACATAGTCGATATCGTAGGACTACGAAAATTGTATAATGGCAATATAGAAGGGGTGGACATTAGGGTGAAAACAAAAAAATAGAAACAGAATTTATTTTTATTCTGATCTTATTCTGATCTTATTCTGATAATTTTACAATTTCAGCATAAATAATGTTATTTATTAATCATTAGTCCACTTTAGTTTTTTATTATAATTTTAAAAATAATTAATCAAAAATCATGTTCCCCTGATTTATTTGCTCATATTGCCCTGATGTTTATCCCTTCATTAGAGGCTTCGAAATTACAAAAGTCGAAGCTCGAGTGTTCTTTCGTTTCTTTCATCCACTATGCTGAATATTGCTGAACGCTTAATGAAACACCACTCGATGATTATATTGCTGACCATCAGTAGAGACAATCAAAAAACTTATAAAACTCGCATAAATAATCTTTATCATATCTAAATAAAGTTCAATTCTCGTTTCACTATAAATCCCTCTTTTAAATTGCAATTATCAAACGCTTGAAACGTTCTTTTGTTTAAAAATATATAGGTAATTAAAATTTGTGTCTTTTCTTTCTTTAACAATTTTTTAAGTTTTCAAAATTTGTTATTCAAAGTATTAGAAAGCGATTGCTGTGAGTTGTATAGAAAGATTTGTTTTGGCATAGAGAATTATCAATTTGGGATACTCTGTATATACATATATAAAATTATACACCTGATAGTAATTTACAATTGCTATGAACTTATGAAATTGTCAAATATTATTGACAATCAAATAATAGATAGCAATTGCGGATATACCGTGATGGTGAACTTTGAGAAGCAAGTAGTGTTCGCGAATCGGCCGAAAATACGTGTAATTGCAATTTCTCATTAACGATACGCGTGTAAATATACATCGTAAAACGTGTATTGTAAATAAAGAAATATGTACAACGTAGAGATACGCAAAAGATTATATGCATATAACGCTTTCGGTTTTAAAGAAAATCAACGCAAGTTAAATAAAAAATTGATGCCATTGGATATCTTATAGGAGGATGCATGATTAATTAGAATGGGAAAGAAGGATATTTGATTAATTTTTTCAATCAGAACGCAATCGTATTACAATAAGGGTTCGTTTCACATTCAATCGATTGTTGTTAGATTTTTTCTTTTTAAATTTAAGGAATTTAACCAATCAATTTCATAGGTACACGTGAAAACAGACCGAAATATCGTACCATTTTTGTCCTGAATGAAATGGTCCTAAACATTTCTTTACAGAGTAAACTCAATTTTCTATTTTTTGATAATCTCTTTATCAAACATCCTTTTATTTAATACGAATTTCAAAGGGCATTTCCAAAAAGTACATGCGTACTGAAATACCATTATAATTCTTCTAGGAACAAAATATAAACTTTCATAATTAAATTTGAAATGATCATATCTAATAATCCATATTAATTGATATCAAATCATTGTAAATCTTAGCAGTATAATAAAATATTATTTATCTGAATATATTTAAAAATATAATAATATTTGTTTAATTGGAATATTCGAGTATTAGATAAGAAAACAAACGTAGCTACCTATCGTGTACCTGTTCACATGGTGCTGTATCTTAAAAAAATAATTCTTTTTTAATTTAAATTATTAATTGAATTTCATTAATGAAACGGGTGTCGTTGATAAATTGAAACAGACCAAATTTTCAATCAAAAGCAACATTGGGATCAATGGAAACGGAATTCATGGTATACTTAAATGTTAGTATGGAATTTTAATGTCCACATGGAGAGCATGTTTCTATGAATATTTTTTATTGTACAATTTATTCTGTAAAATTTTAAATTTTAACTTTGAGGATTTAACTATAAAATTCGATGCCATTTGTACTGTAGAATTTTCAGATTTATGTTAATACCTTTATTTATTGCAACCTATATCATACCATTACTGGAATTTTTATCTTGAAGCATTAAACAGGTGTTTCTTTAACAATTTTTGTTATGAAAATAAAATTCTGACAAAATTATGTAATCACAACGCATATCAAATTATATTTATACACAAAGTGCAAACAGTTTTGTATTATTCAGCAATAATCCAACATGTCACGTCGAGAATGCCTGTATGAGAAT